TTTGCCGTAAACGTGATATTAGCGTTATTCAAGTCTGCCATATTGGTGCCCCGAAGTGTTTTGGCCATTTTGCAGTTCTGAGTCGAATCATATCATGGAACAGTTTGGGAGACAATTTTTGTCCCATTTTCCTACACAATCTCGTACAGTGTAACCTCTGGGACACCTGCATTCAAGCCGGGACACCACCATTCAGGGGACACAAGATTTGGTCCCGGCAAAATCTTCATATAATCTTTGTATTTGTTACCTCTTTTGAACGGACACCTCTATTCAGGGGAAAGGGGCATTTTTTCTGGGCCCCGAAACCTCAGGGTTTAACCTCCATTCATGGATCACCTTAGCAATCAAAAGTGCGTCAAAAGTACGTAAAAGTGATTAACCGCAAAAATCGTCGATATAAGTTTAAAGGTTCGCTTGTCACAATGGTGACAGCTTTCAAAACATGAATTAACTCACTTAAATCAATGCACTGCATTTGTGGGAATTCAACACACAACATAGCAGAGATTCGCAGAGATAAGTTAATCATGATTTTTTTATATATATTTTCTAGCTGCCTGAAATGATGACTGCATCAGATTCCGTAGCCTGTGAGAGCAGGTGCCTTTATCGGCTCTAAAGATAATATTTTATTTGTTGGTTAATTATTAACAAATCTCAGCCCAACCTCCATTTAATAAAGAGACACCTCTCTGAATCAGAGGACATGTGCCGTGGTCTCAAGTTAAGGGTGTCCCCTGAGTACAGGTTCCACTTAGAGTAATAGCCAATAACTGAGACGCAAGTCCAATAGTGCAATTCGACAATACACCGACCCAGCCTCTAGCGCAGCAAATTACTCCATATTTAATCTGTTTTTGTTTCCTTTTAAGAAACCCTTGTTAGTAAAATTTGTCTTATGTGCAACAAACCGCTTCATTACTGAGTGGTTTAGGGAATGTGCTACGGCAGTTTAATCCACTTTGTTTAGTTTGACAATTTCTTGCCCTGAAACTTGACGTGGCAAAGAACAAAATTACGGCTTCGTTACAAAAACATTCTTTGAGCGTTGACTTGAGGAGTCATTATGATGCCGCTCCTAATGTATAAATAGGTAGAGAATTCCAGTGTACAGAAGCAGCAACTACGCAAAGATTGAAGATTTGGAGATGAGCTTCAGGTCAAGACGTTGAATTTCTTTCGGGGCTCTTTCTCCAACGAAATTTATATGAGTTCAATTCTAAGTATGCATCTACAACCCCGAAGTAATACCCGCGAAAGTAAAAGATAAAAATATGGAAGTAGAGGACACAAAAATAGATTGTACTTACAGCGATCACTTGCTTGAAACGCTTACCTCTCATATGAGATGAATTACAATTCAGGAAAGAACTCCAGAACAGAAAACCAACTCACTAGCATAGCTATCCATTGCAAAATCTTTAAAGACGGCTTGCAACCTGTAGAAGCACTTGGCGGATATGAAAACAAAAGTTGAAAGGAAACCAACAAAAGCACACATGTATCTGAAGCTTGGCTCGAAAGTAGAATCATTGACTTGCAAATAAAGGACGGGTGGTTAGCAATGCGCCTGATACCGGAAGCTTGATCTGTGTCTATGATATAATTTTTTAATAATCTTTTGCATGAGCATGTGGAATCAAATGGAACAAAAGAAAGCGAAAAAATGTGAGGAACATACGTAATTAACCGTGACAAAAACAATGCATCAAAGCCGCCCATTAATCATCTGTATAAAGTATTCTATGTTATGTTACTACATGTGTAAAGTATTAATTTAGTACCTATATTCTTAAATACTTTGAAACAAATGCCCATCGCTTTTTTATTCGGGATGACCTTCGATACAGGTTTGAGTGGAACCCAAGAAGTGAATGGTTGTGAGATGAAGCATAAAGAGTTCCACAAAGTCAAAGATCACCAAACTTTCTTAAAAGTTATTCGATTCAGAAAGCTTTCGTTCAGTTCTTTATACTATATTGGAAAATCTCAAAAAGCAATATTCTAACTTTGAAAATTCCGTTCGGTTCAACGTTGCCGCGGAAGCCTAAAACTGCCGGGAAAAACAGGACGGCAGACATTTATTTTTCAACAACTCTTTCCGGGATATTTTCTGTAAATATCGCGACCAATGCGCAGCCTTCTACAATTGAACAACTGACGTCATGAGATCGAGCTCTTTTTGACTAGGAATGAGTCAGCAGCAGCCAATCACTGCTTGTGTTACTTCCAGCAGCTCAAGTTACGTCCTATAAAACATTCATCTTATGGCGGTTTTCAAGGATTGTGTTAGTTCTCTGTCTTAATTCTTGGACAAATATCGTTATTGCTTCGCCAACAGGCCAGTAAAACTATCTTATAAACGTGAACATTTATGGTGTTGCAGAACATTAAAATTTCCTTTTTCAATACATCCAGTGTTTTGTAAAGTTTCTCGAAGCTGTAAGCATTTTATGCCCATTATTTCGGTCGTAATGTCGTGATTTTTCAAAAGGAAAATGGTTCCAGTTTGTGACATGAATAGCTGCCGTGATTTTTGCTTATCTGCCGGAAATAACTATGTGAAATAATTAAGTAACTCGTTATATTCATTTAAGTTGAGTCGAGACCCGAACGCTTTGAGCTCATGACCCACCCATAGCCTATGAAATCAATGATGCGTGGAGCGTGAAAAGTAGACCACACAGCCGGGTAAACTTCCCCCACTCTTCTCGAACAATAGTGTTGGTTCTTGTACGTTCCCTTCGATTTCAGTAATCAAAGAAGGATGAGAGAGACAGGGCCAAAAGCTTTACGCCCCCCGCCCGCCAATGACGCGATCATCTTAACTGACACAAGATCTCAAATCACAGCCAGCATCATATCACCAGTTTTTTAACGACCTTGGTTGTTAATTAGTTCGGCCGGGGTTTGAACCCACAATCTAACGCTCGGCAGACCGGTACTCTCCCAACTGAGCTAACCGGGCGGCGGTTTGAGGTTTGAGACAAATCCTTGTACTGCCTGTTAGGAATGCAGTGAATGGGTGCTCAGCCTCCGCAATTAGAAGGTCTGTGGCATATTTGCGGGCACTGAATCAGGTCACAAGAAGGATATACATTTTCTTGATTCACAAGGAAATGTTTCATAAACTGAACTTAACCGGCGATGGAAATCGGTTTGTTTTAGCATAAAATGATAGAGAAAATCGCTTTGGAAAACTACTATCACTATGTAAAATATGGACCAAGAGTCACATTTAGGCTACGTTCACACAGCACATGACACATTTTCGACCGATTGAAAATTCGTGCATTTAGGTGTTCACATGGAACCACGCTAACGGTACGAAAATTTCGGTATTATCTTCACATTATACCGGATAGTTTCTCGTGCGACACAATAAGCTGTCCTGTATCGATATCGGATATAAGACTCTTCACTTTAGAGATCGGCGCCGCCTAGCTTCGCTCCGTTAAAGAAATCGCGCAGAAATCAGTGCCTTTATGTGGATTCCACTCTTTGTCAGTGAAACTTGAATTCTGTGGTCAATTTAATAAAACTTTACAAGTGTATTTTACAAGAAAAGCTATATTTTTAGGGTCCGAAAACAATAGCTACACTTGTAAAAGTTTAATTAAATTAACCCTTGGATTCCATTCGCTAGGGGGATTCCGGATTCCTTAAGCTGTGTTCCCTATTCCAAAGCCCAGGATTTCAGATTCCACAGGCAAAATTTTCCCAGATTTAAGATTTCACAAACAAAAGGGCGATTTGTGTGAACAGAAGCCTTATCCAGTATGGTTTTGCAGAAGCTATCCGGTATAGAGTGTTTTCACTCACGTGGCAAGCATATATGCAAATTTATTGTAACAAAAGAAAGCGTTTGCATAAGAAAAGAGTTCAACTCCCAGGGGACTGGTTTGGGACACCAATATGGCCGCCGTTTCATTGTTTTGGGACACCAATATGGCCGCTGTGACGTCATGTGAATGAACCTTAGACGCCTAGCCGTTCAGAAATTTGAACGCCAAAATCGAGGTCCAATTTTTGACAGGTACGGTCGAGAATTTGACTGTCAAGGTGTGAACACCATAACTGTCTAACTTTGCGTTCGAAAAAAGTATGATTGCATGGATGTGTGGTAACTCCTCTAGCGCTTTGCGCATAGGCAAATGGTAATACCACTGAAAAAAGTTACCGAGTTACGCAAGCGGTTGTTTCAAATCGAAGCTGAGTGCGAAGCTACTGATATGAAAACGATTCTTGTACTTTATTCGTATGCAAGTAAAACTCTAGCCTGGGACCATGCCCCGCAGTGGGGGAAAAAGCGAAAAAGAAAAAAAAAACTCGGCGAGCGATAGCCTGGGGAGGCGAAATGCCACACAAAATTCTTCTGCCTCATTAAAGAGATGCTTTTTATTCGCAAGCTTAAGCCATCACTGATTGTACAAACTGACTCTGTTCGTGCAAAACTGTTTTTGTAAGGAATTTCCTTTTGTTTACCATCAAACCTCTTTACATTCATACGTTAAATTGTTACTTAGATACAGTCTTGATAATGGCATTGCGATGACGTCGAAACGTCGAGTTTTTACGCTTTTATTTACTGGTTTCAAATTTCACTTTGATGTCTAGGTTTAACTAGTGGCTTATACCTGAAAACTAGTCTCTTAACTAAGAGTACTGAGCACTCTAAATATAGTCTTGTCTATCTTATTGGTTTACAGACAAAACATGCTACAAGCTGAGACGCTTTGAACGCTTTTTTTTAGTTTTCTTCTGCTTTGTACAGAAAGCTAGGGTGTATTAGCAAATTACAATGATTGCACAGAAAAGAATTACACCAAAGCTGAAACTATACCATGAACGGACCAGCCATCCCCAATAAGGAGTACCATCGCCATCACTATTACCATCACCATTTTTGTGTACTCAGCAGGGTTGTTGGCTGCGTTATGACGACAGTACGAGGAGACATTTAATCCTGTTTGTTGAGTATATAGCCCGACATCATCACTGCAGTGCACTATAACAAACGCATGCTTTGAAGAATCAGAATTGCCGTTGCTGGCGAAGCGATTACTCCTGCCAAGAACCAACTCGTTCGTTGCGCGTATCAGCAAACCGTTATTAGGTACTCCCCTACTCCAGTCTGTCACTGCATCCGTGACGTCAAATTCTACGAATCCTGAGGGTCGGTAGGGAAACATAGTGACAGTTCCTTGCTGGGGAGTTGCCTCAGCGTCGGTGCCGTCGAGGGCTAACCATGGGGAAGACCACGGGATGCCACGTAGGCGCATGGTACTGGTTGCTTGAGATTCGTCCCATGGTTTTTTAACCAGGTGCACTTGCAAATAACGCGGAATGAAAGGGACCCTTTTTGCTGACATGAAACTTGGTTTGTGGGAATATATATAGTACAGGTACATTTTGGCTGAAGCTACATTTTTGGACGGACATGAACTGGGAAGATCTTCAAACTGGACCAGCGAGCGCTTGTTAGGATACTCCGGGATTTTGGACACTATGAGATATTCGTAATTGTTGTAGTTTCGGTTTCCACTCTCTAGCCAGACATCTTGAGTTACGCTTAGCTTGTACACTGTACCGACGCCTGTGTCAAATGTCTTCACACCACGCACAGGGGGAGCTGCTAACACCACCATCAACAAAGCTATTACACTTACTGATTGTTCCATGGTCTAAAAAAAAAACATGCAATTTAATGCCTTTTTTACCTTACTTCACTCGGGGGGCATCCTTAAAGTGATTAGAAAGTGGAAAGATATGTGAGTGATATTTATTGCTAATGTGGAAAATTAATAATAATAATAATAATACTAATAATAAAGTCTTTATTCATCAAAAGATAAAAATACATATCTTTTGTTACAGGTAAGTGTAAGAAATTTTAAAAAGTTTAAAAAGTAAGAATTAAAAAAAATCTAGTATATTACGTAGCTAATTCATATTTAAAAACTAAACGATTAATTAAAGAGTTTTTAAAACGCATAGTGTTAATCTTAGATTTAAAACAAGTTTCTTTCCTAAGATTGTAACTGGACGGTTTAACACGAGGCATAATAGATAAGAGTAGATGTCCTTTAGCATTAGAAACTTTTCTGAAAAATTTAAGGGTCTTGCCTCTCTAAGAAATCATAAACATCTTCAAGCTTAGACGTATATTTCCTTTTAAAACAGCGGTCTTAGAAACATTGTACAGGTGTAAGATCGGACTCGGACGCTGTGTAGACAGATATGCGTAATTAATATTGGGTAGAACTATTGTATTAAAGAGAAGGTTTATCATTTTGATTGATTGCAGCCCCCTTTGCGCAGCGTTCTAAGGATTTGTAGGGATTGGTTAGCTTTAATAAGTTTGTTCTTCACGTGCAGTGAAAATTTGCTGTCACATTGGAAGGTGACACCCAAAACCTCAACTTCTTTACAGCTTAGTATCATCCCAATAGGTGAATAGAGATCGCGTTTGCCTCTCTTTTTGATCGTCAACTCTTTACATTTGCTTGGGTTGCAAGACATTCCATTTTTGTTCGTCCAATCTAAAAACCGTGACACTAACTGATCGGAGTAGTCTACCTCCTTCCATACAGGAGCAATAATTGTCGAATCATCAGCGTACTTAAATAGCGCGTCATGATTACCTAAAGTAATGTTAAGATCATTGAGAAAGATGTTAGAAAGGTAAGGACCGCTAACGCTACCTTGAGTTGTCCCTTTGTTAACCGGTTTCCAGTCACATTCAAAGTTGTTGCAACAAGCCCTTTGTTTTCTATCCTTTAAAAAGTTCAAGTACCAGTTGGCAATATATGGATTCAGTGGGAGCTTTTTAGCAAGAATCATGTTTCACAGAGTCAAAAGCTTTGCTGAAGTCCATAGCAACAAGGCGAACTGCTTTACAATCCGGGTCAGTATCCAAGTAGCCGTTGATCCTATGTTGAATGGACAAGAGAGCATCGGTACAGTTTCCACCTTTTCTGTAGGCAAACTGTGAGGTGCTGAGGTGGCTTTCAATTGTCTCATGGGCATAGCAGTGGTAGACGATTTTCTCAAAAGCCCTCGCTATAAAAGGAGTTATATTAATGCCGCGATAATCACCATGTGCTTTAGGAACATCCATTTTGGGGAGGAGGGCGATAATCGCGCGCTTCCACGATGATGGCAAACACTGAGTAGAGATTGAGAGATTCCAGATTTTGGTGATAAGAGGCGTGAAAATCTCTGCATGCTCTTTCCAAACCCCTTAATGAATCCGGTCGCGTCCAGTCGCAGTTCTTTTGAGAGCGCTACGTAAACATGTTCCAGACCTGCCGTACGGAAACTACCGTGATCTCCATCTCACTGCTGATTGTGACAGGAGTTGGTTCTATGTACATATCATCTGAGCAGAGCCTAGCGAAGTAATCATTCAGGTCCATCAAACAGCTGTTATCCAGGTTTACTTTGCAGGATGCACGACGTAGCTGCGACAATTCATGAACTCCTTTCCACCATGCCCGACTACCTGGGAGGCAGCCATAAACTTTCTCCTACTTCTCCGAGATGATGTCAGCTATTCTTTTGTTAACAAGGCACAGTCTGTCTTTGCTCAGACAAGAAACTCTGGAGTTCGTCAGTCTGATCATCATTGACTCAAGGAGTGGTGTCATCCACGGCGGATCGCGTGACGACATAGATACAGTTTTGACCGGCATACGCAACCTTTCTGTCATATCTTTTGAATAGTCAGCAATTATTGAATTAGGCTGAGTATCATCGAGGAGAATTTCCGTTATCAACCGAGCGAAGGCAGAGGTGGATAACTGCCTCCGAGATCAGCATAGTTCTTCAGACTGGTGCGAGTGCTTGAACTGATGCCTTGGGACGTGTATTGAAGAGCTCTTCGATTTAAGGTTATTATAGCTTCTTTTAACTGTTAATTTTAACTAGATTACCAATTGTTATTTTGCGGGCCAGTGGACTGTAAAATCTTTTTCACTAAAAAGTTGAAGTTCAAATCTCTTGATAATACAAGCTTACCTCCTCGTAGACTTTCTTCAACACTTTAGCCTATTTCTCTGAACGGTTTCAGGATATAAATAGACATTTATTTTCCTGCAGATAACCCTAAAAAAGCACAGAACGTCTATCGAACAATATTTTGGGTAATCTTGCATTTTTTCGCTCAGCTTAAGTCGAAATTCAGCTATTTCGGCTTTGGATGGCCGTGAACACCATTTTTTTTAGTCCACTCGTTAAGAAACAGAAAGGCGGCATCGCTTGGAAGCGAGATTGATCGACAGTCTATTACTCAAGCAACCTCGTTTCCAGGCAAATATACCATGGATCAACCTCGTTTCCAGGCAAATGCATCGTCGAATCGATGGTATATTGCACCCATCTTCCAAATTTGGTCTTGCTTATGAAAAAAATAAGCTTATGAAGAATTAACCGGGGATTTAATTTGAGCCAATCAGAGACGGCGAAATATTTTAAATAAATAATAATGATATTTATAATATGGCTGTCTCCATGCATGAGCAGGCAAGATGAAATGGGTCCTGTGTTCTGATTGGCTACCTAAGAGAAGAAGTTGAGGCTTAAATGCCTGCTTTCGATTGCTCACCTTGTTCTCAAAAGTCATAATTTATTTGCGCATATAATGAATCCTTTATAGATATTGGCTTTCTCTTTCTTTTGTGCCACTTCCTCTCCATCCACTAAAAACGCAGAAAAAACATGGCCAATATGTAGCCAGATATTGACCTCACACTTGTTCAATAACGCGTGTGCTTTAGCGCATGTTGATTGTTCAGTATTCAGAGGTTTATGCGGTCAGTTTGATATTATTTCCTAAAAATGTCTTAAGTTCTTTCTCGTTTTTTGTTACCCGAGGCCCCACATACAGAGCGACAGAGTAGGAGTGTAAAATAAAAGACACCATTGTTATCCTTAAAATGTAGCTAGTACACTACAGTACAAAGGTTCATTGTTATTCTTCCTTCTTACACCTTAAAACCCGATGAACACATTATTTGAATAACCGCAATGTTTTGCGCTCATGCAGATCCATTTAAGCAGAATCAAAGGCCTGTATGTCGCTGCTATCTCATCTTTGAACCAGTCCATGAAAAATTCTAAAACCTCAGCATTTAATCAAATCTAATTCGAAGCTGAGTTTGAGGACAAGAATATTCGTGTCTAAATCGTTAACACTAAGGCCGGCAGCCACCACATTTCCACAGTATGCCACATGCAGTATTTCCACATGAAATTACTTAGTACGCAGAGCGGAAACACGGTTTACCAGAAGATTTTTAAATCGATCTCTCTGGTTTTAAGAGAGAATTTCTAGGTTTAGTTGGCGCGTCTGGCTGGTTTAAGATTAGGCTGGCTTAAGTTTAGGCTGGTTTAAGATTAGGCATAACGGATCATAACGGATTCAAATGTAAAAATTAAATAAATAGTTAATATTATCCCCTTTACAAAATGAGTACCGAGAACAACTTTGAGGCTTATTATACAACCACATTAACTGAATGAATTATCATCTTACGCGTTTCTTTTAGGCGTCAAATGCCAAAGAAATTTGTCCTAAAAAGATGAAAGAAACATAAATAGTCTTGTAAATATATTAAATTAAAAACAATAGATATAGTATTTGACTCTTTCCCTTAAAAAAAGTTCCTCCCCACAATATGAATACAAACATCTAGCAGACAAATTGGTGGGACTGTTTTAAGAAAAAAAAAACCCTTTAAACCCCATGCTTGAAATGCTATAAAGAACCGAGAAACTAATAGCAGAGTAGAGACTAAATATGATGCTAAGTTCACGCTATACCGAATAGTTTTTAGTGCCGACAGGAAAGCTATCCGGTATGAAAAGTATGAACACTGAACTATCCTATGTGACGCTCCACTTTAGAGATCGGCGTAGCGCAGCTTTTCTTCGGTACAGAAAAAACGCGTCGCAATCACCTTTTTTTGTGTCGTGTGAACGGAAGCCCTATCTGGTATAGATTTTCGTGCAGGCGCAAAATCTATCTAGTATAGTGTGAACAGAGACTGACTAAACCCTGGAACTGCGGAATGTGCACGAGCTCCGGGATATCAAGATCTAGAGCTACCGTGGCTGGCACACTTCCTTTAAAAGAAGATCAAATATCTACTGGGGGCGACGTGATCGTCTGTTTAAAGAGCAAGGGTGTTTTGTTTTAATTTAAAAACACTTTCAGGCGTCTGAAAAGTAAGGTTTTACACCAGTTTTTTTCCCGCTTTGATGTGGTAATACCTAATTCCCGCAATTATGTATTCGATCTAGATTCCTTCACTGTGTACTAAACCTTCTGCAAAGTCTACTAGTGCCTCAAAACGATGTTGAACGATGTTGACTTGAAGTCTTGTTCCTTACTTAAATAGCTCTAGTAGGTGGAAAAACAAACTCTCTAGACGTTTGATTGAAGTCAAGTACCAATGGACGCTTCTTTTAGTAAGGTTCAGGAATTTGCAGCCATAGTCAGTTACACTTACTTATTACCATCACACGCCCATACAAGTTATTGCACACTTTCTAGGTTGCACAAGTCTAAATATTGAAACTCAATGGCTTCGCTACTTACCAGAAGAAAAAATAGGTAGCAAGTCTTCGATCTTGTTAAAAAAATGCGATCAGTCCGTTCTACGACTTATCCTGAATGTAGATACATTGACGTCACATCGATTTTCTGCATAAGCGGTGTCGAGATTCATTTTTGGCAGCATTTCAATGTGCGGTTGTGAAGACAATGGTACTTCGAAAAATGTGGGTTTTGGGAAATATTGGGTTCCATCTCGGAAGCGTTTTTGATGGGTCTCGAAGTCTCATTTTTTTGAGATTTTCACTTCTCGGAGTCTTGAATGTTTTTGCTGATGGTTCTTGGAGTCTCCGATTTGTCATTTTACATTTCCGTTTGGTCTTCAGGAGTCGAATTTTTCAGAGTTCACGGATACAGCTTATCGAACTGAACTTGTAGATTAAGACAGTAAAACAAGACAAAGCGGCATATTGGTGGGCTTCCGCCACTTCCATTGGCGTTTTCAATGAAAAATGAGTCGTGTGTTCTGATTAGCTAACTAAGCAAAGAAGTGGAGGCTCTAATGCTCGCTTGCTTTCGATTGCTCCCCTTCTCAAACGTCATAATTTCTTTCGGCCATACAATAAATCCTGTATTGAACAAGCGTAAGGTCAATATGGGATTTTAGCGTTTTCTTTCTTTTGCGCGAGTTCTGCATCCATAAAAGACGCATTAAAAACATGACCAATATCTAGCGAGACTTTGACCTCACACTTGGTCAAGAACGAGTGTGCCTTTACGCATACTTATTGTTCAATATGTGGAGGTTTATGTGGTCAGTTTGATATTATTTCCTAAAAATGTCTTGAGTTCTTACTTGTTTTCTGTTACCCGAGGCCCCACATACAGAGCGACAGATAGAAGTGCAAAATAAAAGACACCATCTTTATCCATGAAATGTAGCTAGTACACTACAGTGCAAAGGTTCATTGTTATTCTTCCTTCTTGCACCTTAAAACCCGATGAACACAGTATTTGCATATGCGCAATGTTTGCGCACAAACAGTTCCATTTAACCAGAAATGTCGCTGCTATCTCATCTGTGTACCAGTCCATGAAAAGTTCTAAAAGTCCGTTTTTTTTAATCAAAATCTTATTCGAAGCTAAATTTGAGGACAAGAAAATTCGTGTCTAAATCTTTAAAACTAAGCCCGGCAGCCACCACACTTCCACAGTATGAAACGTGCAATCAGATTTCCGCATGAAATTACTTAGTACACAGAACGGAAACTCGGTTCACCTACAGATTTTCTCTCTGGTTTTAAGAGAGAATTGCTAGGTTCAGTTGGCGCGTGTGGCTGGTTCAAGATTAGGGTGGTTTAAGATTAGGCATAACGGATCGGAACAGATTCGAATGTAAAAATTAAATGAATGGTTTAAATTATCCTCTTTACAAAAGGGAGTACCGAGAACAACTTTGAGGCTTATTATACAACCACGTTAACTGGATGAATTATCATCTTACGTGTTTCTTTTAGGCGTCAAATGTCAAAGAAATTTGTCATAAAAATAAGAAAGAAACATTATTAGTTTTGTAAGTATATTGAATTAAAAACAATGGAGATTAAGTATTTGACGTTTTCTGTTATAATAAGTTCCTCCCCACTATATGAATACAAACATCTAGCAGACAAATTGGTGGGATTGTTTCATGAAAAAAAAAAACTTCAAAACCCATGCTTGAACTGCTATGAAGAACCGAGAAACTAATAGCAGAGTAGAGATAAGTATGAGGCTATAAGTTCAAACTGATACCAGATAGCTTTTCGTGCCGATACGAAAGCTATCCGGTACCAAGTATGAATACTGAACTATCCGATATGTGACGCTCCATTTTAGAGATCGGCGCGGCTCAGCTTTTCTCCGTTACAGAAAAAGCGCGTCTCAATCACCATTTTTTGTGCCGTGTGAACAGAAGCTCTATCTCTTCTCGAACAATAGTGTTGGTTCTTGTACGTTCCCTTCGATTTGACTAACGAAGAAGGATGAAAGAGACAACGGCTTAACGTCACCGCCCAAAGACGCGATCATCTGAACTGAGACGAGGTCTTGAATCACAGCCAGCATCATATCACCAGTTTTTTAAAGACCTTGGTTGTTAATTACTTCGGCCGGGGTTTGAACCCACCACCTAACGCTCGGCAGACCGGTGCTCTCTCAACTGAGCTAACCGGGCGGCAGTTTGAGGTTTGAGATAAATCCTTGTACTGCCTGTTAGGAATGCAGTGAATGGGTGCTCAGCCTCCGCAATAAGAAGGCCTGTGGCATATTTGCGAGCACTGAATCAGGTCACAAGAAGGATACACATTTTCTTGATTCACAAGGAAATGTTTGATAAACTGAACTTAACCGATAATGGAAATCGGTTTGTTTTAGCATAAAATGATAGAGAAAATCGTTTTGGAAAACTACAATCGCTATGTAAAATACAGACCAATAGTCAAATTTAGGCTACGCTCACACAGCACAGCACAAATTTTCGACCGATTGAAAGTTCGTACATTTAGGTGTTCACATGGAACCACGCTAACCGTACGAAAATTTAGGTTATCTTCACACTATACCGGGTTGTTTTTCGTGCGACACAAGCTGTCCTGTATATAGAGAATATTACACGGTGGCGAGAAGATATTAATTTTATGTTCGAGTGGCAAGAACAATATCTCACGAGTGAGCGCAGCTCACTCGTGAGATATTGTTCTTGCCACGAGAACATAAAATTCATATCTTCGAGCTAACGTGTAATATTCTTTTTATTATATAAACATACTGTTGACGGCGTTTCTGATGATTTTCCGAAGATTTCCGACCACCTTCCGAAGATTTCCGAAGATTTTTCAAATTGTCCCGAAGACCAGACGAACGTCCCCAAAACATTTTCCGAGAATTTCCGAAAATTTCCGAAGATGTCCGAAGATTGCCGAAGATTGCCGAGCACTTTCGAGGAAGACCCGAAGATGTTTCGATGATACACCAACGAATTTAAGTACAATTTAAGAGACAAACCTGATGTCAGTGAAATTATCGATATCTTCACATGTAAAAATATCGTTTTTTTACGTGTGTTCAGATGCCACATTTCTCGGTGGTAGAAATCCTTGTAAAACACTGCAGTATTTTTAATGCCAAAATCCTTCCATATCTTTATTGCAGCTTTCGCAGACGTTACAAGTTTAGAACCTGGTGGACGATCGTTTACAGAATCATCATCATAGTTTAGGACTCTTCCCAGGATTTTCATGGTGTCCGTCCTATAGGCCAGCGGATGAACTTGGTGCGCATGCAATATAAGGTCAAAGTCGCAACACGGAACCAAAAACGTATTCAGATTTTGTTGTTTGAGCCTCAAATGATGTTTATATCGTATAAGTGCATCTCTAAGAAACGTTTCGTCCCCATAATGTGGTAAGGAAACCTTATAATTAATGACCCTCTGACGACTGCATGCAGCCACTATATCATATTGGATTCTTGACACATGAGGCATCTCGTTACCAACAGGGGCTGTCAGGTCAACTTCGAAAGGCTCATTGCCGTACAGTTGGTGCCATAAGAGCTTAGCCCTTTGAAGTCCAGCCTCGCGCTCTCCTCCAACAATGGTTTTATGGTCCACCAAGGTTGAAACAATCACGTTGCAATCCCTTCCATAAGCGAGAGGTGAAAGCATATGAACGTGCCAAACCCAAGCAATGTCGAGGGGAGCAACAAATGGTACATTTGGGGACTGGGCGAGAAGAGGAAGCCAGAAGACTTCATATCTAAACCCAAAATGAAAATAGCCCCTGTAAAAAACTACTTGAAAGAAATAACCCCATCAAGGCACATGGCAAAAGAAAGGGTGGTGCAAACGTTTGTAGCTAGATTAACGGAAACTTCTATATTACGGACAGTTAACGGATAGTAGTGGCAAAATTTTCCAGGATTCCCTTACATGGGGTGATTTGTGTGAACGCCAAAATCGCGAGATCGGTCAAAGTTTTGACCGGTACGGTCGAGCGTGAGTTGACTGGCAAGGTGTGAACACCACAACTGTCTGACTTTGTGTTCGAAAAAGGCATGGTTGCATGCATGTGTGGTGACTCCGCTAGCGCCTTGTGCATGGGCAGATTGTAATTACCACTGAAAACAGTTACCGAGTTATTCAAGCGGTTGTTTCAAAGCGAAGCTGAGTGCGAAGCTATTGATATGAAAAAGAGTCTTTTAGTTTATTCAAATGCAAATAAAACTCTAGCCTGGGACCAGGCTCCGCTGTGGGGGAAAAAGCGAAAAAAAAAAAAATCGGCGAGAGATAGCCTGGGGAGGCGAAATGCCACACAAAATTCTTCTGCCTCATTAAAGAGATGCTTTTTATTCGCAAGCTTAAGCCATGACTGATTGTGCAAACTGACTCTGTTCGTGCTAAAGTGTTTCAGTAAAGAATTTCCTTTTGTTTAGCATAAAAACTCTTTTTTCTCGTAATTTGTTACTTAGATACAGTCTTGGTAACGGCGCCGGCGTTACGATGACGTCGAAACGTCGAGTTTTTACGCTTTTATTTACTGGTTTTGAAGTTTGATGTCTAGTTTTAAATAGTGGCTTATACCTGAAAACTAGTTTCTTATTAACTAAGATCTAGACTACTGAGCACTCTAAATATAGTCTTGTCTATCTTATTGGTTTACAGACAAAACATGCTACAAGCTGAGACGCTTTGAACGCTTTTTTCAGTTTTCTCCTGCTTTATACAGACACCAAATTACAATGATTGCACAGAAAAGAATTACATCAAAGCTGAAACTATACTACGAAAGGACCAGCCATACCCAATAATGAGTATCATCACCATCACCATCACCATTTTTGTGTACTCAGCAGGGTTGTTGGCTGCGTTATGACTGCAGTGCGAGCTGACATTTAACACTGTTTGGTGCTCCGAAGTAGTGTTGGCGCATAATCCGTCTGGAATACCTATAAAAAAGCTTAACGGTGAGGCATTAATTGGTGGGTATGAACGAAACAAGGTACATAAGGACTGGAGATAATTCAAATTCAAAGTAGACTAAGCAATGTCCATGTATACTGATCATGAGTGCACTTAATCTAGAGGTTACTACCCATCAATCCATCCACGAATTGCAAAGCCGTATGCTTTTAATTTATCATAGTCATCTATGTGCCAAAGGAAATTTGGTCCCTGAAATAAAAAGTAAATACCTTCATATATCTGCCTATCTTTGACAGCACGTATAAGAATTTGGACCGTTAACTAGTAAATAGGAGGTTGAAGTTACCGGGGAGAAGTACTTCTGTCGTTTCAATCGGTGTTTATTCCTTCCTGCAGCGCCATCTGGGTCCATCACTTTCAGAGCCAATCGAACAGTTTCTCTATCGACAGGAAAAAAAGGTTTAAGTAACAAAATAAATGAAACACAAAGATAAGAGTGAAACTAAAAGACCCGCAAAAAGCAGGGTACACTCATCATAAAAGCATCACTAGCTTAATAGGAGCTAGCTGGAGCTATTTACCCTCACCTGTCTACAACAAAGTGATGATCATTTCTTAGCCTCTGATGCATCACTATAGCCGGTACCCAATGCAGTTCGCAGACCCTGTTAACTCACTCTGATGATAATGATGGAAGAAACAAATTACTGCGAACATTCTTTTTTGTTAGTCTTGTCACCACACGGAAAATTTGTGGCAAATATAATTTTACAGTGACTGTGTTGTTATACCTACAAACAGAATGCACAGATTACGAAGAAAGAATCGTGCCATATATTAACTGTATCTTAAATCAGATCTCGTAACCATTCAATGCGCGATACCCAAAGCTACTCCCGGACTTGTAAATATGCCTTCGCCTTATGTGACGCATACTAACAGGAGGAGAAGATTATATCGTAGAGTTTAATATTACTAGAAAATCCCGTCCATGTACCTCGGTAACAACTGTCACTAGTGCAATGGTGGAGTTCTGCGTACGGTTACCTGAAATAAATCCCATGAGCAAAGGCTAGGAAAGCCCATATTTCGGAATAACTGAAGCCTAAATCGAAGTAGTGTTTGAGAAGTTCTTCATCTTTCAAAATGAAAAGGAAAATTTAACTTGTATCTCTAATGACAAGTTTCATAATAATAAAAATAATAATAATAATAATAATAATAATAATAATAATAATAATAATAATAATAATAATAAAAGCCGTCGTCATCATTATTGTGATCATGATCGTCATAATCTTTTTGGATTGGTATTTGAAGTCTTCAAAGTGCTTGCGTCTCGTGAAGTCATTTTACAAAAACCAAGGCCATGCGAGCTTGCACACAGACTAATGCTGTAGAGACTTGACAAGAAACTCAAGTCAGCATATGAAACGTGGCTCAAAAATAATAAGAAAAATGATATTAAATGATGATAAAAATAAAGTTAAATAATAACACACTAACTGAATAAAAATAACGGTCATCATCATCACGAATAATACTGAGCACTTCTCTTGAAGCAAAATATAGCACATAACAAGAAGGAAAGAAATATATTTTTGATAACAACATCTTAGTTCGGCAGTTCCGGTGGAGTAGAGGGGAAAGGGCAGACCGGCTGAAAAACAAAAATCAGATTGACGCAAAATTAGAACAGTTAAAAAGGATACAAGATTGCCTAATATGATCCTGTATAGGTGCTATATACCTCGGAAGAACACTTCCAGATAAAGATACAGACTCTATCAGTAGAAGCAGGATCAACAGCAGGTTCGATGACACAAATGTCATGATTCATTAGCCCTTTCAACGCAAAACGTAGAAATCAGGTAATTAAATATTACTCTATCACATGTACTACAATACACATTATTATATGCAAAACTCTCAAATAAAGCGTAATGAAATAGCTTACCCATCCATTCGAAGAGGATAACCTGACCGTTCAGAAGGTAACCACGTGTCTACACGAAAAAGTCCGAGTTATAAATTTTGAAATGCACAACTCGGATTTTGAATTTTGACCTTGAACCTTTGCAGTGAAAATCTGACCTGACTCGGATTTTTGCGGTAAAAATTCGAGTTGCAAATTTAGAAATGCGCACAACTCGGATTTTTGCGGTAAAAATTCGAGTTGCAAATTTAGAAATGCGCACAACTCGGATTTTTGCGGTAAAAATTCGAGTTACAAATTTAGAAATGCACACAACTCGGATTTTTGCGGTAAAAATTCGAGTTGCAAATTTTGAAATGCACACAACTCGAATTTCTGGAGTTAAAATTCGAGTTGCAAATTTTGAAACGGACACAACTCGGATTTCTGCGGTTAAAATTCGAGTTGCAGATTTAGAAATGCACACAACTCGAATTTCTGCGGTTAAAATTCGAGTTGCAATTTTGAAATACACACAACTCGGATTTTTGCGGTAAAAATTCGAGTTGCAAATTTTGAAACGCACACAACTCGAATTTCTGCGGGTAAAATTCGAGTTGCAAATTTTGAAATACACACAACTCGGATTTTTTTCGGTAAAAATTCGAGTTGCAAATTTTGAAACGCACACAACTCGGATTTTTGCGGTAAAAATTCGAGTTGCAAATTTTGAAATCGAACAACTTGGATTTTTGCACTAAAAATTCGAATTGCAAGTGTAACTCACTCGAGTTGGCAGTCGTATAAGGTTGCTGTGGTGGTGGAGTATAGGAACGATTTCCATCACTATCACTCGAGTTGGCAGTAGTATAAGTCTGCTGTGGTGGTGGAGTATAGGAACGATTTCCATCACTATCACTCGAGTTGGCAGTAGTATAAGTCTGCTGTGGTGGTGGAGTATAGGAACGATTTCCATCACTATCACTCGAGTTGGCAGTAGTATAAGTCTGCTGTGGTGGTGGAGTATAGGAACGATTTCCATCACTATCACTCGAGTTGGCAGTAGTATAAGTCTGCTGTGGTGGTGGAGTATAGGAACGATTTCCATCACTATCACTCGAGTTGGCAGTAGTATAAGTCTGCTGTGGTGGTGGAGTATAGGAACTATTTCTATCACTATCACTCGAGTTGGCAGTTGTATAAGGCTGCTGTGGTGGTGGAGTATAGGAACTATTTCTATCACTATCACTCGAGTTGGCAGTTGTATAAGGCTGCGGTGGTGGTGGAGTATAGGAACTATTTCTATCACTATCACTCGAGTTGGCAGTAGTATAAGGCTGCGGTGGTGGTGGAGTATAGGAACGATTTCTATCACTATCACTCGAGTTGGCAGTAGTATAAGGTTGCTGTGACGGAGTATATGGCCCAACCTCATCACTGCAGTGCACCAAAACATACGCATGCTTTGAAGAATCAGAATTGCCGTTGCTGGCGAAGCGATTACTCCTGCCAAGAACCAACTCGTTCGTTGCGCGTATCAGCAAGCCGTTATTAGGTACTCCGCTACTCCAGTCTGTCACTGCATCCGTGACGTCAAATTCTACGAATCCTGAGGGTCGGTAGGGAAACATAGTGACAGTTCCTTGCTGGGGAGTTGCCTCAGCGTCGGTGCCGTCGAGGGCTAACCATGGGGAAGACCACGGGATGCCACGTAGGCGCATGGTACTGGTTGCTTGAGATTCGTCCCATGGTTTTTTAACCAGGTGCACTTGCAAATAACGCGGAATGAAAGGAACCCTTTTTGCTGACATGAAACTTGGTTTGTGGGAATATATATAGTACAGGTACATTTTGGCTGAAGTTACATTTTTGGACGGACATGAACTGGGAAGATCTTCAAACTGGACCAGTGAGCGCT